CCAGGCGTGGTCACGGGTCTGGGAGAGACTCCTAATATGACGGATAGATAGGTGCCAGATGGTAGGCATGTGTTTGCGCAAGCTGGCTCCAAATGCTGATATTGGTGGTGGCGTACACCAGTACAAAAAAACGCTTCGTCTTGATAGCTGTTCTGGTACGGTCCCAGGGAATAGAATCAGGATACACTAGCACTACCGGAGGTTGCACATACTTTTGGTATCCACGTTTTAGCTGTAATAGTTACTCAGTCCTTTAGGTTCTTATAGTGTGCTATGGCGAGTTACTGACAACTACGATCCCACGAGGGAGTCGAAGTAGTCGTGTAGTTCTTGTGGCGATGTAGTAGATGTAGGTGGCTGCGACGTAAGAGATTGTAACGATAATCGTTTCTTATTTTAAATGAACCTTTGGTTTTGTGGCGAGAAGAGAGGCGACCGGTATTAGGGATGATTTGAGGCTCAACATCGCTACCACAGCAGGGATGATAGCCGAGCCGTCCCGGCTACAGGTTGTAAAAGAGGCAGATAGGTTGTGCGGCTAAACAACGCCAAGCACTGCGCCTGCTCGTAGTTATCCCACTAGCCAGGCCCCGCTCGCTTAAGCACGTAGCTTGGCGTGATACAAGAGGGTACTTGCTAGTCATAGTTGATGCTGACACAAACCTATAGCAGGTACGGATTGGCCGCTATGCCTGTTAGTGGCAAACGAAATGTAATCGGGTACACCAACCTACAGCAATGATTTCATGGCGCTTGTGACTGAGCGGCTCAGTACTTTCTTCTATTGGTATGAGATTGGTGTGAGAAAGAGGCTGGTGGAGGCCATACTATGCACTTAGCTTACACCTGCAAGCTATGCTAGAAACAGTAAGAACATCAGGCCACCTCAGCCTTAAAGCGTGCGTTGCCAGATGCTGGTGTGCTGAGCTACATAGCCTGAACGATGGAACCATTCGCAATGCTACAAGTGATAGGAAATGATCATGTTCGTATTATGTAGGTGCTCCTTTCCTACTCGCGTTCAACCATCGATGCTACAATACTAATGCCAAGGCGCCAACCGAGACTGCCAAGATGAGCAGCTGAATCCCCTCGGTCTGGTACCGCGCCACTTAAAGTCATGGCCCGCCTTTGGGCCTTTGGGACCGAGCATGGCGTCTGAGGCTTTGAGACCTTAACTTAACTTACAATTCTACAGCAGCTCTGATTCGCACGGCTACTCCTTTGTCTCGCACTAGGACATGGCGCTGTAGGTAGCAAGTAGCCTAGCATTCAGCCCATCCATCAAGTCTTCTGTTCTGCGTGATATAAGAAGTCTCTTGCCGTCGCCCTAAACGACTATTGGCAGTATACAGCAATTTTGCCTGACGATCTCCCCGACAGTTTTCAAGGTACAAACGGAACCATGTGGATTTGGAAGATCGTGGTATGCACTTCACTGAGTGCTGCCGTCAACATCGAAGGGCAGTTCACATTTCCAGAACCACCCAGGCTGCCTGAGCTAGCCAACGCGACATTTGCAGATCTGGAGTGGTCCCAGCCCCTCTTGAACAAAAGGCAAGGTACCTGTTACTCGCCAAACAGATGGTGTTCCGGTAAGCTGGCTGCTCCTCTCTATTCTACTCCGCTCACAAGGATGCTTAGATACTAGCCAATGCTGCGGACCGAACACTAACAGATGCTGCCGAAGTGGAGCTTGCGGTCAAAGCACGGGAGGCGATTGCTGTGGAAGGGGCCAGTGCAATGCAGACAAGCCCAAGTGTTGCTCAGATAACGGTTGCATTGCTGAAAATGATGCTTGCTGTGGAACCGAGGGCTATTGTCCGGCACCTTTCCGATGCTACGAACGGTACCGTAACAATGTATACATCGGCCTCACTTGTTGTACAGACTCATCATGCGACGTGTATCTCAGTGATGGTGCAACGTTGACGCGGACGACGACTGCGGCGCAAACAGTTGCACCTGCTACAATGAAGACTACGTTGGCGCAGACGACGACTGCGGCGCAAACAGTCGCACCTGTTACAACGAAGACTACGGCACCGCAGCTCCCAGCAACGACCACTGCGCGTGTAGAAACGGATTTGGAGTACTATTCGACAACTGTCTATTGGTCAGTCTGGTTTTTTTTTTGAGCGCATTATATGCAAGAAATACTACCAGTCACTAACGTATGTACCAGGACGTACTACTACTATTACTATACACTCCAATCTGCATTCTTGACGGAAACGACAACACGAGTACGTACAACAGTATCATCAACGACCACACTCACGTGCCAAGCAGCCGACACGTACGCTGCGCAGGCTACCTTTCTCTCTCTTAGCAGCGACCTGCCAACGCCAACCGAGGCCCTGATCACGCCTCCAGTAACGCCAACAGCAGGAGCTCCTATCCGCGGTTCCTGCAGTCCAATTGGGACAACAAGCGTGTGTGAGACGCTGATTGCTGGTGCGCTCACTTCGGCGACCGTCTCTGGGGATGGTCCCCGCAGTGTTGCCTCTTGTTCATCTTCGGTGTCTGCGCTTGCGCGCACGATGGCAATGTTCTGTGAAATACTGAGATTGGTTCTGTGAGCTAGATACAGCCCTTGAGGACCTCAAAAAGGATCAGAATGTCTGGCCCTATATAACGCTCTATAATATCAAAATGGCGGCTTTGTGACTGTGCAAACCGCCTTAGCGATAGAAGATGCAAATGCGATGGAAATGAGGAGATTGGTGATAGGTAGCGTAGAGAGCGAAAAGGATGGTGGTGCGCCGCCTTGCCTATGCCTAAGTATTCTTACCTTGCCCATCTGTTAAGCGCTGTTTACTCGCTGCTCAGCAAGCAGGCCAAAGAATCAACACCAAGGTAGCACAAGCACATGGAGTTTCAGCACCGAAGATTGTATTGAAGGTGTTACACTGTAGCCTCGTCTGTATCCCATTTCTTTGCGAACTGGAATTGAACCGTTGACATGTGTTCACTACATCGTTCCCTCTCGCCCTCGCCATCGCACCACCCAACCTCTACCCATTGAACTTAGTCTCTTGCCAGATCATCTCAGACGAATAGTGCAGCGTTCCATTCACATGAACCGTTACCGTCTCATCTCGCTTGTACAGGCTGCCATCTTGCACACAACCCGCTAGGCGCTGTTTGTACCAGCGCGTGGCCTTGGTCTTGTACTCCTCGTGGACCAGCTTTCGGACAGGAACGTAGAGCTTGGCAATGTATCTAGAACGTGGAGAGATGTAGAGTGGCTCTTCGAAGGTCAGGGCTTCGGCATGCGTGTATGTTTTGGTTTTGGCGGATGCGTCGTCCCAGGAGTGTGAGACGGAAAGTGTCCATTGGACGTCGTAGGATTCTCTCTTCTCGCAGCCAGATGCAACAGTACTTTGCAGACAGGCTTTGACCGAGGTTGCTGTTGCATCGGTGCTTTCGATCGTGAGTTCTTGAGTTGCAGGTTCCATGAGCGAAATTTTGCTTGGCTGCGCCTGATAGCTGTAGTTCACGCCTTTCTTTTCGTTGTAGAGCATTGAGCAGGTTGAACGATCTTGGCTGATCGTAATAGGTTCGATCTTTTCCTTGACAGGGTTGACTGAGGTCCACGAAAATGCACTGAGAATGTTGCCGTGGTTGACAACATGGAGGTTATAGGCCTCCTTGGTCTTTCCCCATGCCCGAATGTTGTTGAATTGATATCCAGCGCCATCGGCATGCTCAAAAAGGGTCATCGTTTGTCGGTTAAGAAGTGTGTGCCAACGCGCAGAACTGATTCGGTCGTTCATCCACCAGGTATTGAATGAGTGGACAACCCCTGGCGCCCACTCGCTCAAGAATATAGTTTGACGGTTCCATGTCTGGTTTTGGACGAGAGCTCCTAAATTCCCGTCAAAGAGCTCGACGGCCCCTATCGATAGATCCACTTCTCGCCACCAGAATCCTTTCACGCAAGCAGTCATATTTACTCGGGTCAGGTCGACTGCTTCCGTCTCGCCAGTACCTACCAACTCAACGGTACGACCACAACCACGAGGATCCGCGACGGGCTGGTTCTTCTCAGGGGTTTTGTCGAGTTCTACCATTGTCATCACCGTACCCACTGGTAGGTTCCAAGTAACCCAACAAGCCTTGTCATAATTCTCCGCCAAGAGTCTGTGACGCTGGCCGCTCGCATAGTCTTCAGTATCAATCGTGAAACTGGCGCCACCGAAGTTTGCGCTAGTGAAGACCTTTACGACGCCGCTGTTAACAGCATCGTAGGCTTGCTGTGGCGCAGGTAGCTTCGTGAGGCGGGCTACCTGCTCTTCTGCGAGGATCTCGCCTCCGGTCTGCCCGATCATGGTGTTTTGTGCAGTCATTTTGACGAAGTGATTTTGTTCTTAAAAAACGTGATAGAAGTTTTATGTTGAGGAAGGAGCTTGAGATGTGCTGTGAATCTAGGAAGATTATCGCGTCGTGAGGGTCCCATCTTATAGTTGAAGCTGCAGATAGAACGAACTACGTCCATGTTGTTGGGAATGCCCATATTCCGCATACGGAAATCATATGACTCCCTCGACTGCTGCATCGTATTGCTGCATACTGCATACCTTAAGCTTGCATTGCGCGAAAAGAAAACAATGTAGCGGCGAATTACAACTCTCAATAGTTGCCTGTTGCTGCAGCGAACGCGAATTGTAGAACCCAAAACATTAGACAACCATAACCTATTGCGCAGTATCAGATACACACCTGCAGCCCTGGAATCGTGGCTAAAAGATTGTTGTCGTGAGCCGAACTCAGCAGACAAGCCACTCATTGGTGTCCGCTACCGGGCCGTACCGTACGAGCATAGCCGAGCGCTTTCTTTTTCTTCAGCCATGAACAATGTTTTGTTTTCTGGGCTTGGTCTAAATATGTTGTGCATTTAATCTACCTACCCTCGAGTAGGATTGAAGAGAGAGATGATGTGTGTACGAAGTGTGTCGTTTCTTTTTCCGCTCTTGATGTACGCAGAACCGGTGATCTTACCGAAGATGGAAAATGATGTTGTTGGTCAGGTGGGATGCAAATTCCTCATTGCTCTTGGTTGGCACACCGAGGGAGGTTGGGGCGAAAATGTGCATACAGATATCCGCGCGCAGGGCGAGATGTGCCTCTGCTGAGAGTTTGTCGAAAGCTTCAAGGAATGACGTTGCGATTTGGGAGACATTGTCTTTCGTGGCTCGCATTGTGCTGTATGGTGACCAACGATAAAGTGTAGCAAAGTTGCCAGGTGATTCTGGTACTAGATCTAGTCGTGCTATCTTCACGTTTGTTCCGTTGCCAAACGTTCTTGGAGGAACCTTGTATGTCTTACCGGAGCTACTGTCAAAGTCCATGGTATCGCCGATAGTTGTCATGCTTTCGCAGTGTGCGGATGCGACATTAGTGTGATGTCGCTCCCTGTGGCGGTATGACAAAGAAACTGCTCACGATGAGTCGGCTGCGATGCATCAAATTATTTGACGTGCTGCGTTCTGAGCAAGAGGTTCATCGCCATGCTATCCTTTGCTGATGACGCTTTTCTTGATCCTCTGCGCCTTGCGTCCTGTCCGTTCCGCCCAAGCCGACTCCGTTGTCGGCGACCGCGTGTTCCGCATTATTGCGTGTGCTTTTGAGCCGGCACCTTGAGTGTTCAGAGCTCAGTATGTCAGCGCTTCAAGTGTGCGGAGTCTCGCACATACAACATAGACGGCAGCTGCCTACGTTCTCTCAGCACAGAGATGCTATACGGAGAATGAAGATGAAGAGGTGGTCATTAGTGTGTACATGTGTTTGCAAGAACACATCGCTAGTGACTCTGTGGCGGACCGCTCTGACACCTGCATATGATCGGCTGCACGACAGCTAGGCATGGCTCCAATCTCATGACCTGAAAGCGAAACCTAAACTAAACTGGGCAAATACCATGTAGAAGAACTCCAAACAGCGTAAAGTAACATTACGTCAGGAGGAAGACCTTACGCAATACACTAGAGGGCTTACGGAGTGCTATTTTGCTTCTACAGAAAATGCCTTTCGATACACGATTGCAAATGCATACTACTACGTCAGTAGTAGCTTGATATCTGTGAATAAGGGTACATTTATAGGCTATCTGTCGATATATGCAGGGAGATTCAGCACATTTCTTATATTGTCATAGTGGCTAACTTCTAGGTCCTTCTGCTAAGCAATGGTATTCTTGAAGGTCTATATCAAGTCTCTTGTGCTCCACGGAGAAAAACTGGATGCGCAGAAATAATGCTTTCTTCGTTAACTTAGGTTGTTTGGCCTGTGCCTAAGCAGCACCTGTCTTCTCGTTGTTGCATTTCGTGGATACGCAGCCGTTAGCGTATCCACATCCACTGTAGGTCCCCGATCCGGGTTTGATACAATAATGGCTGATATCCACCCTGCCATTACCCTTGGTCGTGCTGCTCATGCCATCGCTCCTGTGAGTCGTCTCTATCTTGGTTGACAGTCCGTAAATCCAGAAAGTGTCGTTGCCCAGAACGAGCGTTTGCTCTAGGAACGTAACGTTCGTGTCTATCGCACCAAATTAGCCACTTGCAATGATTTTCACAGACGTGGATGTCCGGTAGATAGAAGAATCAAGATGACTTACAGTCCCATTGATACTTCAATCCCGTGCTACACTCATCCGTCTCGGCAGGCGCACTGGTGCCTTGCGGCACGAAACTGTAGTGACACTTTCCCTCAATGGCATTGGTGATTGATGAATGGAAAGTAGCGTTGAAGTCGCGGATGCTGTAGCCTGGGCGACCGGACTGTGTAGAAATGCTCACGTCCCAGTATGTGTCCGTAAGATCGGGGCGGTCGTATTCGCTCTCTGCGACTGTCACGGCGGCCGAGCCGGCGAGCGCAAGCGCGAGGAAGGAGAAACGCATAGTCAATTGATTTAGGTTGTTGTGACTGAGGTGTGTTGGAATGCGCACGGGGCGAACTGTCTTATTTCTACAGCTGCACGGAAAAACACCTCTAGGCACCAAGGAGCTATACGAGCATGCCCCAGATAAACGGTACGCCTTACAGAAATCCTTTCGTGAACGGGCCGTGAGTGGGTCTCCCCGTCCTCGGTTCCTGAAGCTCGCTACACCTGATTGGTCGTGTAGACGCAGAGTTGCTAACAATCAATCCAAACTGATGAGACTGACTGACTGACTGATTGCTTGGCAGTCAGTTCAGTGTCAGTTTAGAGCTCTCGTCTTATCAGTCAGTTCAGTTTAGAGCTCTTAAACT